ATCTTATATTCAGAACTCAAAATAGAAAGAAAACAAAAAGCTAGAGAAACAAAGAAATGCAAACCCATATCACAAACCCTCATATTCACTGAAAGTTTGGAAAAACTATCGTCGTCAGAATGTCATCTTTTGCACTTGTAGAGACAACGGTCACAGTCAGCTTCGAAAAATGTAGTCTGACACACACATATAAATCACATATAAAATTGCATTGAATATCCGTATCTTCATTGAAATATCTCTAGGATAAGACTTAGTACTGTACGGTAAACACTCAACATATTTAGCGAACATTAAAAGCAAATACTACTGAACAGTGGTGTGAGAGACTGAATAAGTACTGAATAAATTATTATGTTAACAGGTGAATCAATGTATCCTGTCGTTCAAGTATGAAAGATTATTGTGATTGCATTGGTCGAAAAAACAAGACATATACCAACACTATTAGCATCTTTGGTTATGATTGTTGTTTCACTAATGTCTGGGAGGTAGTTCACTGGTACAGAACACTAAATACACCATTGTATTCAATACATTCTTTTAAATATTCAATTCGAACATTAAAATCTTCCAGTAAAATAATATTATCCAAGGATGACAAATGTTGAATTTCAATTTGTAAAGTTTCGAAATAATCATTCACACAATATGCTGCAAATAGGAGTATTACGGTGTTTTTGAATTGTAACACTGTTAGGTGATGTTCATTAACTATGCAATACAAGAATAAATAATTATGTTTTGGCGTATTTCACACGTGAATATGTTAGAATGATAATCATCTCCATAATTATCTTACAAAGTGGCGTACTGTTGCAGCGTGTGTAGTGCGTATTGTTGCGTTCTGAGAGTTTTGCAGTGTTCTTCTGTGCTGTGCTGTGTAGTAAAAACATACATACGTACCTGGTACACAACACTTGCAATTGACAGAACATAGTTCCGGTTTGTCTTGCCATTTTTCATTGTCCAAACAGGTTTCTTTACATGTACCACCATACTTACAAAAACAATCATCCGTGTCTGCTCGCATCACATCATTTCATCAAACGTCATCCGAAATAAAATTGAAACAAACAATAAAAAATAGAATTGATTATTTAGATTTTATATTACTCCTTTATGTGGATCTATGCAAGTAATCAGCTTGGAAATACTTCGCTTGGTGATTATGCTTACGCTCTCCTGATTCTTCCTCCAGACAATAATTAGAATCCGTAGATCGTGTTTGAATTACTGTTCACCCACTGTTCCAAACCAACCAATATTTTTCACTTACCCTTGCTAGCGACGCATTTGTATCCAAGCATTTCGAGAGTGTTCTTAGCTGCAAAATAAATTCTTCAAGTTAGCATAATTGTACAAGTATAACTATAAAAGTGAATAAAAAAATTAAAACTAAGAAACCGATAGAAGGAATTGGTGAAAAATTACTTCTTTAATTAAAAATTAATTATTAACGGTCTATTCCATATTGCAAGTACC